TTGTTTCATTCAATTAAATTATTATATTCAATTTTTTTAATTGTATTATTATATTCAATTTCTTTATTTAAATTATTTATTCAATTTCTTCAGTTGAAGTATTATATTCAATTGCTTTAGTTAAAGTATTATATTCAATTGCTTCAATTAAAATATTATATTTAATTGTTTTAGTTAAATTATTATATTTAATTGCTTCAATTGAATTATTAGATATTTCTTTCAGATAAATTTTATATCTATTAACAATTAACAATAAAATAAAAGACAATCAAGTTTAGAATAAACCTATAGTTCTTATAATAAATATTTTCAAAAGTCTGCTATACAAATTTTATAAAAAAAATTAATGTTATAATTATATAATGTATATGAATGCTTATAATAAATCCAAAGTTTCATAATTGTAAACACTTCTTTTAGTCTTAGAACAACCATATTAACAGTTCTTATCATACAATAAGCACACTATGTTTTATGATCGTAAGATTAAATAAAAAATAAATTAAATAGTTATTAATATTTCTGTATTTCTAACAGCTTAGACTGTGATCAAATTATAATTTTTTAGTTCTATTTAAAATAAACATTACATAATGTGTAATCATGAATACATCAAAATATTATCTATATTTTTTGATTTTTTTTTTTATAGTTCAGATAATTCATATTTGTGTAATATGTTATATATTAAATTATCTAATTATTATGTAACAAAATATTTTTTTGATTATTATTGTATTTGTTTGTTATTTCTTTTTCAATATTTTATTAATATTTTAATTTTTAATATTCTATTAATATTTTAATTTTCAATATTTTATTAATATTTTAATTTTCAATATTTTATTAATATTTCCATTTTTAATATTTTATTAATATTTCCATTTTTAATATTTTATTAATATTTTAATTTTTAATATTCCATTAATATTTCAATTTTCAATATTTTATTAATATTTCATTTTCAGTATTCCATTAATATTTTTATTTTCATAATTAGCTTTAAACAAAAATAATCACTATTATGAGATCAAATAACTTTACTATATACTACACAAGAAAGACAGAATTATGAAATGATTGAAATAAAGTATTTTAAAATTATTGTCTGAAGTGTAGCAAGAAATCTTTGCAGTTATTCATGAGTAGATGTTACATAAACAACTATCACTATTGCTGATTTTTTCTGGAAGTAATTTACAATCAACTAAGTTCTAGTAATTAGCTTTAATTTTCGAATATGTAATGTATATAATTAAAGAAAATTTTTTTTTCAAATATTTCAAATATTTTTATATAACGAATAATGGAAATTTTGTTCCAAAATATTTCACTTTACTTTAAATACAACATTTAAATGAGAATAATATTTAACCTGCTTTTTAAATGCTTATTAAAAATATAATCACATTTTTATAATTGGAATGTAATACTTTTTCTTTAGTAATTTTTCAATTCATTTGATAAAAATATCCAGCATTGGTTGTTTTTAAGAGCTCCTTCATTTCGATTAATCGAAATTAATTGAAGTGATTCCGAAAATTCATTGAGATATGCGGATTTTAAATTTCAGCCAATCAGAGCAACTCTATGAAAAAAAGATGGTAGCTCCAGGTTTTTTTGACAAATACGATCTATTTTTTCAATCAATAAGATCATTTTACCATTGCTTGAGAACAACCATTATTTTTGCTTGGCAATTTACATTTTCTTCAGATTTTATATTATTGGAACACCTTTTCATTACTTTTAGTAAGCAAATTTCAGTTTTAATAAACATGTTTGTTCATGACTTGACTTATTTTTTTATAATAGCTTGAAATTTGAGCCCTTACATTTCAAGGATGATAAATAACCTAAGAAGACCCAAATGACTAGTCATTGGGCCATTTCGAAGCATAAATTACTTAGAAAGTCATTTAACTTAATTAATATTCTAATACCATTTAAAAAATTAGAATTGGCCTCCAAAAACAACCTACGTTCAAAGTAATAGAGTTTGATGATTTTTGTGAGCAATTCGACTAATAAAATTATTTTATATGCAAATGAACTGAATGACCTTAATGACCCGGTCATTATTTGATGATTTGAGGTCATTTAAAAAAATTTACTTCATCTTGAATGCAGTTATAAACCAATAGCAAGGATTGGTTAAAGTGGAGCTAATTCAATATAATCTACATACAGCATAAGTTGTATTCTTGATACATATATATATAATAATGACTATCTACATCAAAAAAGTAACCAAGGCTCTAATTCCGCTTTGACCGACTCCTAATACGAATCAATAAATAGCATGTCATGAATAAATGTAGAATTTTAAATGCATCTTTTATCCAGGCAATTTATCTACATCATCTAACCCAATTGAAAGTTCTGTTAGAAACAACCTTTATTATGAATGGTTCCTTTAGATTTAAATTCTGAAACTTTAATAGAATATTTTTTGGATTAGTGTAATTATTTAATAATTGAAAATTATCAGTTGAAAACCAGTGCCTTAGCGTATAGGGAAACAATAGTTTTAATTTTTTTTTTAAACATTAATTTAATGATGTTTCTATGCATAATTAAAGTTCTGTAAAACATATATTAATTATTTAACGTTAAGCTATAGCATTTGCCCCAGACATTAATTTAGCTTAAATAATCAGCCTAAACAAATTAATTTGTCAAGTTGAACATTTAGGTATAATGATTATGCAAGTTATCATACGTAGGCATAAAAAAAAAAAGATTGGTAATTCATAAATTTTATCCGTTGTTACACTCGGATCAGGGCTCTTGATTAATCATAGAAAACGTAAAGTGCATAACTGAAACTTAATAATGAACCTCGACATTAGGATCAACTAGTTACGTATGCTAGGATACAGTAACTGATTAAGGTATATCGATGATATCTTATTTATGATATTTTATGTAATGGTGCACTATAAAATATCAGTCTGGTACTGTAACTAGAATATCAGTTACCCGAACATCTACTATCTACTGATTTATATCTGATTTGTAAACTTTCTATCAACGAATATATATTGTTTATTTTCCAACGAATATATATTGTTTATTTTCCAACGAATATATATTGTTTATTTTCACAAAGTATTTAACGCCATCTACGTGTTAATTGAATGTATGCGTGTTATTTCTAGTACACACATTTGCTTGTTTTGAGACAAAGACAATTTTTTTTCTAATCATGATTTTTCAAGATAACGTACAAAATAACGAGCACATATGTACGTTAATATGAATTAGCGCCAAGAGAAATCCACTAATTTTTTTATGCATTATACAAGTTTCATCTGTAGATTCATTAATAAATTTTTTTTTAAAGAAATCTATGATGATGAAATCGAACAATCAAATTTATGTGTCATTATTCTATGGCGTGCGCATTATTTTAGAACTTTATCCTGAAACCATATACTGTATTTTAATTTTAAGGAGACTATTATTTCGCGAAAATACGATAAACTTATGAATATCTATTTATGTTGCCAACTTCTAAACGTTTGCAAGCATCCTAGTGGATTAAAGTCATGAACATTAGTAAGTTAATAAAAATAAGCGTCAATCCTTTAGATTAATAAAAAGTGAACCGTTAAACCTGGTTTTTAAATTAATTATTATTAAACAATTTCACTTGTTGATCTATTTATAAAACCAATTAACCAAACATTGTTAATAATACGTTATTAAATGAATCAACAATACTGACAATTAGTAAGAATATAAGAATTTCATGTATTAAATCATGTATTATTAATTACTAATACTTTAATAGCCAGAAGATCTTTATTCAGTAGGTATTAAAAATCGAGTACGTACGTATTATAAAACGTCATATGTAATGGTCTGTTTTTAATGTGACATGATTGGTCAATCAACTTAGAATTATGTTATATATTAGCGTTAGAATTTTGTCAATACGTACTACGTATTCAAAATTCTACGTATGTAATAAAAATTCTAATTGCTGAATTGTTTATTTTTTTTTTTAAAGTGTAAATAACGATAATTAATAAATGTATTATTGGATATAACAAAAAAGTCTTAATACATACATACATACATACATACATAACGATAAAGACCATAACCGAAACAATTGCTGCATATAGAATTAAAAAAAACCTGCATAGAACATCAATTTTTATTTATTTGGCTTATATAATAATTGCGTATTATATGCAATATAATTAAAGTTTATTATAAGATTTAAATTAGCCAATTTGATTATTCGATTTCTAAAAGTTTCAAACACAAAAAAATTAGAGAAAAAATTAAGATGATTGAGTTGACCTGTTTTCTAATCTTGTATAATCAAATTGTAAATCAATACAATATGTCTTTCAATTACTATGTTTAGGGTCCGATCCACTATTTAAGTACCTATACCAATATCTGATATCAATATAATAACTGATAATTGTCTTTCTTATTTTGACAAACAAATGTACTGTTTCAAACTTACAAATCTCGAAACATGCAATGTGACCCTTCGATGATCTAAATCCGATAACTGAATAAAGAACAATCATCGCCTTTGACCGGATCCAAGGTCGTAAAAGAAAATGAAACAAACCTACGCCAAGTGATTAAGTCTATAACAATACTTCAAGCATTTTCACGCTCGAAAATATAATGATTTAAAAAAAAAAAAAAATCATTTGATAAATTGAAACTAAAATACACGAATTAATTATGATCCAAAAATAAATATTTGTGTAGAACTCAAATATGTATTTTTGAACTCAGGTTTCATCTGTAAAAATAAATGGCCTGGCGCATTATTCTCAAGTCATTATATAAAAAATTTTATATAAAATGGCCGTAAGAATTCTTTGGTTACTTTCAACAAACAAAAGCAAGATCTTTTGAAATAATAATTCTAGTGTTCTGGAAACACAATATTTTCTTTAACAAAAATAATTTCAAAAAAATAATTTTGTCCCTTATCATTATCCTTCTTTATTTTTTTGAAAATGAAATTTTATCTTATCGAACTTTTGGTTTTGATTGCCTCTGTAATTGCTCTCATTAACGCTGCTCCAGCTGCCAAAGCTCCAAAAATCACCCAAGCTCCAAAAATCACCAAAACTCCAAAGGTCGTCAAAACTCCACAAAGCAACAACGCAACATGTTTCCAAAAACAAAACGCGATAGATGCTGAGAATCTCCAAAAAAAGTTTGATACTTTCACCACGAAAACTCCATGTAACGTCGGTGATCAAGCTTGTATTAACAATCAATTCGCTCAATGCACCGCAACAAACACTTGGGTTCTTGAACAATGTAACGGTGGTTTAACATGTTGTGCGCTTCCCCTTCGAAACAAACCAGGCACTTCGATCGCTTGTGGTAAGTTATGATTTACTATATAAATTTTATGTAATTATGTTTATTTGAAATTGAATAATGTACGATTTAAATTTGGTGATTAATTTATTTTATAGATACCAAACAAGATCAAACTGCAAGAATCAATGAAGGAAAAGCTGCCTGTCCATAAATTTTAAAATCGATTATTGTTATCCAGAATCTAGAATTTATTATATAATTTTTGTTTCATTATTTGACCTTCTTTTATTCGGTTTATATAAACTGGTTTATATATTTCGAATATATGTAATAAAAACTTTCTATTAAAAAATGCACACATTTTATTTATTCTTTTTAATTCAATTTGTACAATTTAAAAATATCTCGTGTCCGGTTATAAAACTTTGCACGCGAAATAATATATAGTTATTGGATGCTTCGCATCCAATAACTAGAGTTATTTGGCAGTCCGATCATAGTAATCTGATGGATAATTTCTTCTATTCATTATCGTGACTTGGCCAAGGATGCTTAATTTTTGTACGCAATAATTTAATAAAACTACTATTTTACGTGGATCCTAAAATATTAATAGTTGTTTGCTTGTAGTAAAATAATATTATTATTATTATTAATATTGTCATTATTGTTATTAACAAACGAATCCGTAAAAACCTAAATCTTATAAGCAAGATAAAAATTCTCTTGCGAAAAGATTCCACAAAACATTATTAAATCCCTGAAATTGCTTAAGTCTGGACATTCTATTTCACAATGATATTAATAATGTTTTTCAAAAAATTTCTAACCTCGTAATTTTCGTGATGATAATTCAGTTGTTTATTGAATATATTTTTTAAAAAATTTGATAATCACTATTATGTATCAAAATTTTCTGTGTTCAAGTTCGGCATAATTGAAGAATTTAAAGTTTGTATTTCTAGGTTTTCTTTGGTAACACTCATTATTATTGTTGGAGAATCAAAAATCTGCAAGAATCTGCAGATTTCCTGTGATTCACGTAAGAGCCCTTCAATTATTTAACGTTTGAAACTATAGTAACCTTGAAAGTTACACGAAATTGTATTACATTAATGATACAAACGGAAATCCTCATTGATGAGTGTGATACAAACCAATTCAACGTATAAATAAAGTTCGTGAAATTAGAAATTTAGAATGTTAGAAACGATAGCAATACGTAGGAATAAACCATCATCTCTTGCCCAGAAAATTTTGTTCCCGTCATTTTAATTAATGCCCCAAAACCAGGTTTGATAATAGAGTTCAATGATGCCCAATGAAGCCATGAGTGGAACAAATGGATACTAGGTTTTTAAACCCTATTACGTATAGTAAATGGTTAGACAGTATCAAATAGGAGCTTTATTATTTATTATAAATAAGAAAAATACTAGTAGATAAAATATTAACAACCTTTATCCGGAATTGATAAAGACTCATTTGAGTTTGTGTAAATTAACCCTAGCTGTCACAACAAAATTGTCCTGGCTGATTCTCGATTTTAATTGGCTAAGAGTGACGATCAAAACTTTTGGCAGCCGCCCAATAAGTGAAAATTGTTCCTGGGCTAATTTTATTATATTTGGAATGAAAAAGCTAAAAAGTTAATTCCAGCCAGAAATTAGTAAGCAATTATGTAATGCAGGCCAAAAATTCGCAGATTTATGCCGTTAGCCAATCAAAATGAGGATCGAGGATCTGCTAGGATTTTGTTGCGGCACTATGTGTAATGCCTGATTGATATCATTAAATATTTGAATTTATCAGATCGAATTTAGTTTTAATATTTCGTTTAAAAATGAATACCAACCATGCCATTCTATTCGTCTTACTGAGACAAATCAAATAATATGATTTTTTTAAAAAAAATTCTAATTGCTAAACCACAAGTAAAAGTCGATATTACTTATCTTTTACATATTTCCTTATTTAGGTAATGTCCAGAGGAAGGATGCAGTAATATAATACGAAACACATAAGGAACATAGTGCGCCATAATACCTCCCAAATGTAAAAAATATGCCATTAATTACTGTCTAGTTTAACGTGAAAATTTACTGATACTAAAAGTATAAATCAATTCTATAAATAATCTATTGTCACCGTCTATTTGTATTTTATAAGCCATTTTAATTCTTGATAGTTGACTAGATGTGGATATATAGTTAGTTTTAAATAGAAAAATTCAAAACATCAACTCTCAAGCAAAATTGTATAACCATTTTGTAATTATCTGATTGGCAAATGTAACAGATGTTTTTGGTTTAATTATGGAGAATGTGCCCTTTCTAAATGGGTTACAGGCTAAAATACTAACAAATAAAATACGAAGAATGTGCCCTCTCTAAATGGGTTACAGGCTAAAATACTAACAAATAAAATCTTGACAGGGCCATAATCCGACCGGGGTAAAATCGCCACCCAAAAAATTTTCGACTAATATAGTGAGCACTAAAAATATATATAAATTATCAAAAAAATACAACCAAAAATTCAGACTAACAAAATAATAATGATAAGCAATAAATTTATTTATTTCGAATAACTCAATAAACATGATATTTATTACAACCAGAAAGTATTACGATTATGGTTTTTCTAAGTATTTTAAATATTTCATTGCCTTTTAAAATGATTATAATTATCTAATTTATGCAATAGCACAAAATTTTTATTAATACTACCAAGTCATTTGTTATTATTTGGATTCATTATGTTTTCTTCAACTATTTTTGTTGCTGTGTAAAGGCCCACATTGGGACAAATAATATACAAGGTTTTCTGGTGCAATTATATTTTTTTGATTAGTTTTTATAAATTTATTTCAATCTTTATTTATTATTAGTGGAAATTTCGTTATAGGAAAAAAAATTTTATTAAATAAATTATCTTAATATTTTAAAATATTATCCCTTAGTCTGTATCGGAGGCAAATTTGCCTCCAATTTGATAAAAATTTTATAAATTTTCAAATTGCTCAAAAAATTATTAATGATAAGAGGTCAATAATCTTTATAAAAAATATTCTTGAAAATATATTTTATTAACTTTATTAAAAAATTTTTTTACTTTTATTAAAAAGTTTTTCAAGTAAGTTTTAAAATTTATCATTTAAAAAATTTTACTGTTTTCAAAGCTAAAAAATATTTTTACTTCTAATATAAGTTTAAATTTTTATAAGTAAATTATAAAAATTATAATAAAAATCATTCTTTTTGATAAATTCTATGAAATTATAATTTATTAAAATAATATACTTAATAGATAACAAATTAATTAAGAATAAATAACAAAATTTTAAAATAGTAAAAATTTTTTAAAATTTAAAAATTTTAAAATATATACAATTTAAAAATTTTTTTTATAAATTAAATACAAATATTACAATTTTATAATCCTTATTTTCAAAAATTATTAAAAAAATTAAATTTAAATATTTTCTTTTTTAAAAAATTAAATCATAAATATTTTTATTAAAAAATTAAAGTCAAATTTTTCTCTAATTTAGATACAAACTAAGAAATAAAACAGGATAAAATCCAAATTACAAAATAATAAATCTGCTTGTAAATCAAATTAGAATAAAATCTCTATTTTATTATATTTTTATTATATAAAAGCAGATTTCATTTTTATATAATGATTATAGCAAATTTTATACTATTTTGCTATTTAGATTTCATAATTCTAATTAAGATAAATTAAAAATATAACATTATTTTTGAAATTTTTGAATAATAATTTTAGAAATTATCTATTTTTCATTATAGTATATTAAAATATTTTTAATTTAATTATTATAAAATGCATCTATAATGTTTTATATCTATTATATGTTTTATAATTATTATTATTAATTTTAATATTAAAGAAGAGTATTTGTAATCTAAGTTTTTATAAATAGTATGTTTTAGCTTTGTAATTGTATTACAACAGTTACAGAAAGCAATTATAAGAAAAGTATACAACTAACTACTTATACAACTTTAGTTATTGGGGTGTGGTGACCTAGTGAAGTGGTCAGGTTGTCAACCCCCCAAGTGGTAGGTTGGGTGTTCAAATCCCATCGACG